GTTCGTGACCCGAATTGGTCGTGAACAGAAGCGTTCGTGACCCGAGGTACCACTGTATTAACCAATATTTTTTGTAACTAACCCTTTTAACTGTGAACTCTAACATTGTTATAATGCCTTGGATAAATATGGCCAGAATTTCTTTTTCTAAATTCAAATTATGTCCTTCGAACAAAATAAATTACACAGAAATACATGGAAACGTGGGGGTTTGGTGGGGAGGGAGGATCAATCAGGCAGTATTTCCAGACTTTCACATGATTTGGCTTTTTTGTATTGTTTGGCAATGTTGCAATTACAAGAAAGGAAGGTGTGAACTCAAGTGAGAAGCTAAGAAATAACAGGCATGAGCACAACATCTCTGCCTTGTAAACAAATGCCTATAACATTTTCTCTTTGGTGCTTATTGTCCTGTGGCCCAGGATTTGTGATTTCAGTTCTGAGCCCACATCAGACGGAGGTGCAGATTCAGTCTCTGGCCTGCACATCTTCCTACAAAAATGTTTGAAAGCTCTAAGAAGCTCTAAGAACCGTCAAGATTTGATTACAGGTAGTCCTCAACTTATGACCATTTGTTTAGCGACCGTTCAAAGTTACAACAGCACTGAAAAAAGTGACTTATGACCAGTCTTCACACTAATGACCATTGCAGCATCCCCAAGGTCATGTAATCAAAATCCAGGTGCTTGGCAATCGGCATGTATTTACAACGGTTGCAGCATCCTGGGGTCATGTGATTGCCATTTGTGACCTTTTCAGCCAGCTTCCAACAAGCAAAATCAATGGGGACCCACATGATTCACTTAGCAACAGTGGTGATTTGCTTAACGACCATCCCAAAAATGTTGTAAAATTGGGTGCAGTCACATGATGCCTCACTTAACAACCGCACCACTTGATGAATTTTCAGGTCCCTATTGTGGTTGTAAGTCAAGGACTACCTGTAGATAACAGTTGGCATGTGCAACCTGTCTTCAAGTAGCATGATATACACTTCAAAAAGTGTCTGAGACTAGGGGAAAAAACCCTTAAATTTAATTCAGATTTATTATTTCTTTATTGAATTTATGCTGCTGGTAAAAAGATCTCTCAGCAATTTACAATAAATTAAGACCACTCCTGCTAAATTAAATAATTTACCTATTCTGATGCCTTAAAAATACAGTTTAGCAGCAATGTTTGGAAGAGTTTTGGGATACAAAACCTTTTCTCCAGGGCTATAGGTTGTGTACCCCTGCTTTTTCTTCCCCTTCTGAGTTACATCCATAGTATGGCTACAGATTATGACATAGCTTTCCTGATAAAATTGGAAACAAGAAATGTATGTTGATTAGTAGAAGAAGGGGAACTGGACTTTCCTAGATCTATTGAGGTATATTTCCTATATGGCTTGTGTTGTGTGTTAAAATTACTATTTTTATGATTTTGCCAGTATCCTGCAGAAATCCGAAAGTATGACTATGATCCAAATTTTGCAATAAGAGGGCTTCATTATGATGTGCATCGGGTAGGTATACATTGTTTTATTTGAAATATCATTGCTTATTATCTGTTTTCATTTATGAGTAGTCTGAAATAGTTGCCAGATGCAACTTAATGTGTTTACTTATCACATTTGAGATAGCATTTTTAGAAATATTACTAGTAATTAGATCTTATGTATTAAACCCAAGGCACCTGTACTGTTGATTGATTGATTATGTTACCATCATTATGTTTTTGACTCCTAGTGACCACATAGATAATCTTCATGACAATCTATCTCTAATCTGGTTTTTCAAGTATCTCAAGGGCATTTGCTACCGTAACTGAGTCTATTCACCTTGCTGCTGGTTGTCCTATTCTTCTCTTTCTTTCCACTTTTCCCAGCATTACAGCCTTCTCCTGAGAGCTTGGTCTTCTCATAACGTGTCTGAAGTAGGATAATTTGAGCCTGGTCATTTGTGTCTGGAGTGAGAACTCTGGGTTCGTTTCTTCAATGATCCATTGATTTGTTTTCTTGGCTGTCCACATTATTCTCAGGAGTCTTCTCCAACATCAAAGTTACCTTACAATATATGTAAAATATTACCAGATAAACCATATTACTAGCAAAAAGTAAAGGTCTGTATAAGCTTTTCTCAGATTACAAATGATCCAGGCTTCTATGGTCCCAGAGGGAAGGACAGTTACAGCAGATTGCTTGGTTACCTTGTCTCAAGTGCTGCTGCAGATATTTTGCACCCTGTTCAGTTTCAGTAAGTGGAAAGGTCCACAGTACTTAGTCCATCACCCCTAATTGAAATGCTTCTTTGTTTTCGAATGTAGGCTTCACAGGAAAAGGAACTTGGTTTCAAAATGGTCTATCATATTCTTGGGCTGTTGTTGGTATATCCTGCATTTCTGTTGTTAATCTTAAAGAAGTTTTCTAACAACTTTGCAAAATCATAAACAATTTGTTTAATACCTTGGACCTTGTTTTGATAATTTACATATTAATTTTTTTATAATGACCCCTGGATTCCAGATAATACTTGATGATTAACCTTTTTCTTCTGGAATTGGTGGTGAATCACACAAGTTGTAGGAGAACAGAATTATTTATCTCCTATCATAATAAGAATCAAAACATCTTAGCAACCATGACTACACTTAGTGTGTTTTAAAACTTGCTACCTTTGTTTGTTTATGTTTGATTTCTGGATCTGAAGAATGTTTTGTTGGTGTGGCTCAAATCTGCTATCTATCAGTCTCAGTTGCTTACTCCAGTAGAGAGACTCATATTAATCTTTATTAGGGTCATAGACCAATATAAGGCAGGGGAAAAATACAGTCAATAAAAACATAAAAGAAGGCAATAGGAGCAAAAGATATAAAAAGGTGTGGGGAGACGTAAAATAAATCTTTGGGCTAAGATCAAGTGTAGTAAAAAGACTTGTTTTTCTCCTGTTTTCTGCCACTTTTATGTATAATTCTATAATTCCCTCTGTTGTCTCCTTACCTCTAATCAAGTCAGGAAGTATGTAATTTTAGATGTAATTTTTTGGGGGGGAGTGGTAGAGGGAGGCTATTCTTTAGATAACCAAATTGTATGTTTCACAATCAGAACAAAGTGAAATCGACAATTCTCTTTCTCAATCCTCCAAAAGCATGCTTGCCGAATAATCTGAGCATGTTTAATTCCACATTTTAAATGTCTAAATCATAGCAGGGTTGTGATTACCGGGATAAAATGGAATTTCCTTTTGCCAGCTGATGGTGAAATCAAGAACAGTCCCCATTGGTTCTAGATGAAGATGAATGACCATGTAAATGGACACTTACGATTATGTTAATGGATCATTTGGCTGCCTCTGACTTTAACATGTTCTATAAAATTAGAAAAGACATTTATCGATGAGCATTGGCCCTGGTGGGGTTGCTGTTATGCCACTCTTCTAATATTTCTGATTATAATATTTAATTGGAGACACTGGTTAATTGAAGTATTTAAAAAATGTACTAATCTATTTAAAAATAGATTTTTATTTTATTTTTATTTTTATTGTGAGCCGCCCAGAGTCACCCGTGGGGGAGATGGGCTGCATACAAGCCAAATAAATAAATAAATAAATAAATAAATAAATAAATAAATAAATAAATAAATAAAGTAGCAATGATGGTGAAAAAGTTTCTCTGCAATT